AAGTCACGGACCCCAGAACAAAACACACAGACAGAACGCTTCAAAGTTTAAAAAAAAGTATTCAATATGAATTCTTCTGGTCAGTTCAGCCCCTTTCACATGACCAGTCCGATTGGGTCTGCCTGGAAAACTGAGACGGACCCGATCGGATGCCCAATGCAAGTCTATAGGCAGCAGTGCGTAAACAGACGAACGTTCATTTAGATCCAGTCCAGTCTAAGTGGGATCGGGGATTAGATAACCCCCAATCCCACACGACACCGTCGGGAGGAAAAGATCTCCGATCCGCCTGTTTCTCCGGAGCCGGCTCCAGAGAAACAGACAGATCAGAGATCCGTTCCTCCGGACGGTGTCATGTGGGATTGGGGGTAATCTGATATAAACGGATCAGATTCCCCATAGACCAACATGGGGTCCGGCAGTTTCCATTTTTTTTCCCTCCAACACAAGGTGACATCCGCTCCGTACAAGAATCACATCCTGATCAGCCCATATGAAAGTGGCCCAACTCATTGGGTAGTAAAGTCGGGAACAAAATGGCAACAAATTAGCAATGGCAGCTTCATCTCTCTATCCCCACAGATTCACTTTAAAGTGTATTTCCACTTTCGCAGGCAAATTGGGATAACACTTATAATTTTATATTTGTCACATGTTCTCATTCACAGAGCATAAGCTAAAATATTTTTTTTTAAATCATGCTTGGTTCAAATTTTTTACTTTGGTTCAGGTTTTCTTGGCTTCTCAAGGGTTAAAGATCTCTACATTTATAATGTTAGAGGACGTTGTGAGGGGTTTACATTGTATGCTAGAGAACTTTGAGGCGAGTGCTTTTCACTCCTCATAGTTCTAGCCGACCTGTCACAATGAGACGGCTCAGTAGATCGGGAGGTGAGTGAACACATACCGGCGTTCGCTCACTTCTCGATCCTGTCACGGCTCTCTGCCGTGAAAGGGGAGGAGCTGGATTACCCACCCCACCGATCCTCCAGCGCTGACTGGACTGACGGGCGGGTACAGCTGGCTCTGCATCTCTAGTGGCAGCTATACCCACCCCCTCCCGGGGGAAATGATTGGAAAGTGAGCAGATCGGCGATATGCTTTCGCTCCCTTCCTGATCCTAGTTTCAATGTCACATGTCGGCTCTAACTATGGGGATGAGTGTAATTCACTCACCCCATAGTTCACCTTTAAGCAGTAATAGCTTCTACACTGGTCACATAGCGGATGTATTTTTAGAGAGTTGTAGCCAACTATGGGATGGGGCAAAAACGTTGCACCTCCAACTGATTTGTGGACACCTGGCCATTACATCTAGAGTTTGCTGGACATCCCTTTCCAAAACCTTTACTATTGATATGGAGTTGGCCCTCCTTTGTAGCTATATCAGCCTCTGCTCTGCTGGGAAGAGTTTTCACAAGAACTATGGGGAAAAACTGCCTATTAAGTAGGGATGCACCAAAATTTCAGCCGAAAATGGCACTTTTGAGTGTCGAAAATTCAGTGCATCCCTAGGTTCTCCTCCTTGCTGGGCGCACCAGTCTGTGTGCCCTCCGATGCAGCGCCCAGCGGGGAGGAGAGAAGCTTACAGGATGCTGAGCGGTGTGGGCAGCGACATCGGTCATCGTTGCAGGAGACTGAGCTCTCCTTCGGCACCTCCCAGCTCGGCCTCCTGTATCAGGATGGAGAGCAGTGGGGTGACAGCTGTGATCTGTCACAATAGGCAGAGCTCTCCTCGCCCACCACTGGCCTCCCTCCTGTGACTGCCCATTGAAGATGGAGAGCGGGAATACAAACACTCACCGATCAGCTGATCGTTGAGCATTTGTAAATAACTGGACATAGTGGTGTGCCTACTATGTCCAGTTATGAATGAATGGGAAGGGATCTATATCACTTCCTGTTCATTCATGATTGTGGACATTGTAAGTACACTATATCCACAATGTATGAATGGACAGGAGCATTCGGTATAGAGGCTTCCTGTTCATGCATAACAGGGGCTGCCTAAAGGCCGTGACACACTGCACGCGAAGCCGTGCAGAGCGAAGCAAAGCTATCCGGCACGGAGCTTTGCGTGCAGTGTGTGAGCTGAGTGCAGTCAGATGATTGACAGCACCTTCAGCCAATCGGCTCGTCCGTAACAACCTGCCAGCTGTTGCGACGCGCTGGTTTATACGCGCGAGCCGATTGGCTGAAGTTGAAATTGTTCATCTCGTCACGCTCAGCTCCGCGAGCTCTCGCAAGCTGAGGTGCCGAGCAGAAAATTACATGACACACTGCTCGCAAAGGCAGCGCGCCCCCGCTCAGCGCTGCTTCGCGTGCAGTGTGTCATGGCCTTAAGAGATTGAGGACAGAGTAGACCAGGGGTAGCCAAACTCCGGCCCTCCAGCTGTGGTGAAACTACAAATCCCATGATGCATCTCTCTCTGGGAGTCATGTCTGTGGCTGTGAGAATCTTGCAATGACTCATGGGATTGGTAGTTCCACCACAGCTGGAGGGCCGGAGTTTGGCTACCCCTGGAGTAGACAATCTCTTTCTATTGTAAAAGGGAAATATCAGGGGTCCATTTAGACCCCTAATATTTCCCTGGAGCCCCCGACAAAAGCACAATACAGAGCTTAGGTACTGATGTTGGACAAAAAAAAAAAAAACAACTTAGCTGGCAATCAGCATTCCAATTAATCCCAAAGGTGGTGTTCTAGAAGGCTGAGGTCAGGAATCTGTGTAGTCCCTTAGAGTCCCTCCACACCAAACTACGTCTTTATGATGCTGGCATTGTGTACAGGGGAACAGTCATGTTGGAACAGAAAAAGGACCTTCACCAAACTTATGACGATGTTAGAAGCACACAATTGTCTATAATGTCTTTGTAAACTGTAGCATTACCCACACTCCTTACCGTAGCAAACTGAACTCAACCATTGGAGGGATGGCCACATCATTTTAACCAGTGACGGTGTGATGTCAGGTGTCCACAAATTTTGGGGAATACATATAGTAAATACAATATAGTAAATTGACGGGGGATAGACATCAGACCTGCCAAGTTTTGTTTGAGATCTTCATTTGGAAATAACTGTGAAGTTTGTTCGATCTACAGTTATTCTTGAGGCAGAAAATCTGCAGCCATCTTCACCCATTCCAGCTCAAGAAAAGTAAAATCTGATTACCCATCACTTTTTTTTTTACTGCCTTAATGCAAACTAAAACGTAAATGTTACCTTAAAGCCATGGTCATTGTCTTGCTGGGATGAACAAACAAGGGAGGCAGAAGAGTCAACACTAACGTTCCTGGGAGAAAATGTTGCTACTGGCACCCTCCAGTGCTCATTACTAAGGATGGGCTCGGGCGTGTTCGGAGCTCCACGTGCCGAGCCCGCCAGGAAGCTGACGGCGCCAATCACAGGTACTGAGACATTTTCCCAGTCCGCAGCTGCAGAGATCGGCAAATGTCTCAGTGCCTGTGATTGGCGCTGCGCGCTGTCAGCTTCCTGGCGGGCTCGGCATGTGGAGCTGCGAAAACGCCCGAGCCCATCCTTACTCATTACAACCAAAGGCCTCGGAAACTAGAGCATTGGCTATTGTAAACACACATCCTCTCCCAATGGAGATCATGGGGCCTTGGGATTTGGTTATGCAAGCAGTACTGAATGAAACCTGGAACAGCATTTTCACCTGGAAAATTATGCATTTCATTTCTTAATCTACAATATGCATCTGTATTTTACTGATCTCTCAGCAGAACTGTTTCCATAGCTTAAAGTTAAAATTGAGAATAGATCTACTTTAATGGAAACGAACTTCAGACCAGATATTACCAATCACAGGCACTCAGACTTGTACAATGATCAGGCTGATTTATTTTTTTTTATCGATTTTTTGTGTGTGTGGCCATATCACTTCATAAAAACAATACAACTGTAGAGGCAGTTTTAAAACTTAGCTTATTTGCTTCTCTTTCTACCCGCTGAGCACATCATGGATCAATGCAGATGGAGGTGCATGCCATGTGGGCAATCAAGGGCTCTATTCTGAGAACCCCATTTGCCATGTTCTTACAAGTGACAATGGAG